ATTACAATTTTAGCCATGAGTAGTGGCTTATCCCTGTAATCTTAGCTACTTGTGAGTCTGAGATCATGAGGATCATGGTTTAAGGCCAACCCAGGCAAGAAGCTCAGGAGATCCCCCCCAATTCAACCACAATGATGTGCATCTATAATCCAGCTATGTGGGAAAGCTTAAATAGGATCATGGTCCAGGCAATCTTAGGCATAAAGCAAGATTTAACTTAAAAATAACCAAAGATAAAGGGTTAGAGGTATGTCTCAAGCAGTAAAGCTCACATCTGCTTAGCACACATGACGCCTGAGTTCAACCTCCAATACCACACACACAAAAAAAAAGAATTAAAATTTTAGCTCTGTAGTCATTGTACTAGCCTCATTCCAAGTACTCACTGTGGCTCAAAGTACAGCACGAAATATAGAATATTTCCATAAATGAAGAAAATTCTACTGAACAGTAGTGTTTTATATTTTGTGTTAGATTTATATATATATAAACAGCTGAATTAATTTTAATTTCCCAAATTCCTCTGTCAATATTTTGGACATTATAAAAAATGTAGAACTTAGTGTTTAAACCCTTAAGTTATAATATATATAAAATCTGGATAAAAGAGATTAATTCATATGCCACTATAAATCATAAATCTTTGATGTATTAGCTTAAAATTTTCAACTCTTTAAGAATTGGCTTATTATCAGACTGAATCAACTTATCAGTAAGTCTGGATATTTAGACAACTTACAAGAAACAAAAAGACTAAAGAAAGACTTTTTATTTCTTTAATAGATGGTAAAGAAATTTTCAACTTTGGATACTTCCCACTATTCTCACTTTGTCTAAAAAGACAAGGTTATATCTTAGAGGAGCTTAGCCACAAAATGATACCTTAATATATTTTAAATATTTTTAAAGTTACAATCATTCTCTATCCTTTTTTGGTTACAATGGAAAAATTACATTTGAACAAAGAAAATTTAGAAACTACAAAAACATGTGGAGAGTGTACAATAGGTCATCGGAGGAATAAAAAAAGAAATTAAAAATTTCTCAAAGCAAATGGAAATAGAAACATGATATACCGAAATATATGGGAGACAGCAAAAGAATTACTAAGAAGGAAGTTTACTGAGCAATAAGTGCCTATTTCAATAAAAAAAGAGACAGAAAGATTTCAAAATAATTTAACGACTCATTTCAAGGACTAGAGAAAAGCAAGAATGAATCAAACCCAAACCCAAAGTTCAGGGCAGAAATAAAGGAAATTCAATATTCTTCATGATAAAAACCCTTAACAAATTAGTGGTAGAAGAATTAGTGGTTATCAGGATTGAATGAATATATTTTGCATGAGAGAAGTACACAGATTTTGGAGATTTTAGCAGAAGAATGCTTTGTTCTGAATTTCTGTATTCCCTCCAAATTCATATGTTTAAACTAAAGCCCTAAGGTGATGGTGTTAAGAAGTGGGGCCTATGGAAGTTGATTAGGTCATGAAGGCTCTTTGTTCTGATGAATGGGATTAGTGCCCTTACAAAAAAGGCCTGAGGGAGCTTGTTTGCCACTTCTGCCATGTGAGGATGTAGTCAGTCAGGTGCCATTTCAAAAGCAGAGTGAGCCCTTACCAGACACTCAATCTGCTGATGCCTTGATTTTGGACTTCCCAGCCCCCAAAACTGAGCAATGAATTTCTGTTGTTTATAAATTACCCAGTTTAAACACATTTTGTGGCTGGACACTGTGGTTCAACTTTATTAATCCCAGCTACTTGAAAAGCCCAAATTGGGAGGACTGCAGTTCAAGGTCAGCCTAGACAAAAGTTAGTGAGACCTATCTCATTCTATAAGGCATGGTGGTACATGTCTGCGATCCCAGCTACACAGAAGGCCATGGGTAAGAGGATCGTGGTCTGAGGCCAGCTCTGAGCAAAAATTTGAGTCCCTACCTGAAAAATAATTTAGCAAAAAAGCATGGGTGTGTGGCTCAAGTGTAGAGTATCTGCCTCCAACTGAGTTTAAACCCTATTACCTCCAAAAAATATTTTGTTATAGCAATACAAATAGACTAAAATAATTGTCTTGTTTTTACTTCAGAGGTAAAACTTCTAACAGTTTATCATAAAGTGTGATATTTGCTGCAATATATCAGGATAAGAAAATTTTCTTCTCATTTTAATTTCTTTTAAAATCATGAATTTTGAATTATAGCAGATGCTTTTGTATTCTTGGGTTAATCTTACTGGTTTTCTACCTTATTCTGTTAATTTGATAAATTACACTGATTCATTTATAATGTTAAAACAAATTGGATTCTGAAGTAAACAAAATTTGGTTATGATATATTATTTTTTTGTTGCTAGGTTTATTTATATTATGGTTGGGAGCATTCATGCATAATATGGACTTAAAATTTTCCCCTTTCCTAATAATCTTTTCAAGTTTTATCATCAAATTATGTTTCCTCATAAAATGAGACAAGCACGATTTCATATTTCATAATTCTTGAGAAGATTTTGTATAAGATTTATATTATTTATTTCTTTAAAAATTGGCGGAATTTACTCTGGTAGCCAGTTGAGCTGAGATTTTTTTTTTTTGACAACTGAAGCTCTCTACAAGGCAGGAGTCCAAGCTGTTTTTCTCATGTAAGTAAAGGTTCTTCAGAGGCTTAGTATTACTGATACCTCCATAGTTCCCTTATATCGAAACTGTTCTCTAACTGACCAACTCTAACCATCTTCAGTTCCTAATCCAGGTGACACACCTCCATAATCTTTTAATTCCAATGTCCCCTCTTTTAAGCAGATCAATCTCTTGAGAGGGCTCAGCCCTGGAAACTGCTTGAACACAGCCATCTTTCATATTAACAACTTTGGCTAGATAAATAATATTTATTCTTAGCATATCAAATAATGGGGACTTACAGTGTTAAAGTCAATTAAAATTGAGACCAGGCTTGAGGAATCTCTGAGTAGAAAAAAAGAGGTAGGTCTTGTAAGTGTCCTAAACTTTGCTTGATTTGGAAATATAAATGAAACTTGTGCTATCTCTTACAAATGCATAGGTTAAAGGAAAACAGAATTTATTCTTTAAAGTTGAGACTTTCTAATAGGATAAACTAAATGTGGCAACTATGAAACTGTAACCAACTAAATTTCCTTTAATTCTGTGCCTATTCCATAAAGGTCTCCTCTTTTTGTGTTCCCTCAGTGGACCTCCTAAACCACTTCTGGCTTGGAGTTGCCCATTTCATGAACTGTTTGCTCAAATAAACTATTTAAATGTTTTATTGTGCTTTGGTTTACCTTCTTTTAACAATAGGCTGTCCTAAACACACAGTTCCTCCACCTTTCCCTTTATCCATTGGCTACTGCTGACAGCTTTCCTACCATAGAGTTGTCTAGTTAAGAAGCAAGTCCCCCAACTCTATGTGCACATTTATCCTCCATTCATGTCCCCTCTAGCAGAAAACTTCAGGAATACAAAGATAAAATATTTTTTCAGGTACTCTCCCTCATTGATGGTGTCAAGGTGTTCTCTTGGAGTTCAACAGTTAGCTTTGGTAGTACAGAAATAGAGTCAAATATACAAAGGAATGTATTTTTTGAAAAAAAAAAAAAGCTGATTCCAAATTAGTAGAGAAGTGTTCAGGAAATGGTATTAGCATGGTTCTTAATCATCAAATATAAATACAGTTTAATCCTTATTTCATACTTAAACTAATTCCAACTAGATTTAAGTATTTAATATATAAGAGAAACAATAAACATATTAGAACATAAATTTTATTATCTTGAAGTAAGGAAAGCATTTCTAAGTATGACACAAAATCCATAACTGTAAAAAAAGAGAATTAAATCAAATTACATAAATATTTTTGTAAAGTTATACATGGTAAAAACCATCCTAAACAAAGTTATAAAACAAATATAAATAAGGATAATACTTCCAAGTTACAGCATAGGAAAAAACTAACTTCCTTAATATGTTTTTACAAATATCTGTAAGAAAGGCCAACAAATCTACAGAAAAAAAAAAAAGATGCTCAATTTCACTTAGATACAAGAAAAGTCTACTAATGGTATAATGACATACTACTTTTTACTTAAATTGACAGGGAACAAATGTTGGATTATACACTGTTAGAAAGGGTGTAGGAAACCAGTTATTCTCACACAGTGCTAGCAGGAGTATAATGTGGAACAACCTTGAGGAAGGCTACAACTTATGAATAAGAATTTATTGAAATGAACTTCAAAGGAAATAAATCCAACTTTCAAATATCTGATTGGATTATGTCATTCTGAGCCTTCTGTAGCATCTCTGAACATTGACTGCCAGAGGAAATATAAATACTGCAGGAAGATGAAATCATCTAGAACCTCAAATTATAATGATCATGTCTCAATTTTAAAAACACAAATTTAATAAAACCAACTGTGTATATGAACACAATACAATGTGACAAAAACTAAGATAACTAAGACTTGTAATTATCAAGTATGGAATTATCAAATACATATTTTAAGTAACAACATTCAACACATTCAAGAAAATAAAAAAACAAGAGTGGTAATTTAGGAATAGAATAAGAATCTTTGAAATAATCAAATGGAAGGGCTAGAAATGAATAATAAAATAACTGAAAATGAGCTTCAGGGATGGATCAACTATCAGATTAGACACAATCGAAATTAATGAAGTCTACAAGACAAAAGAAAACACAACGGAAAGGAAAGAACATACAAAGTCAATAAAAATGTGCAAGTATAATAATATTCTTACAACTTCCTAATAACATCTGAAGTAGAAATATATCACAAGTTTGGTATCAATAAAAAACAAATAATTATAGTATAAGTTCAATTATTATTTCTCTCATACTATGTTCAATTTAATAAAACTCCACATAAGAGTTTCTTCCAATTTTTAAGACTTTTTAAGTATTTTAAAAGAAATATCTAAAAATATAAAAAATATAAATAGGAAGAAAGTTCAATTACTTACATTCCATATGCTGAGCTTACAGCAAGACTAGTAATCTGCTGAGGAGGTTCACCATCTACCCACACCAACTGAATAACAAGATCTGCTTGATATCCTGGAGGCATTCGAACTGGTCGTGTCTTAACACTAGAAGAAAGAAGAAAAACAGACTACTTTTTGTTCCCCTTAACACAGAGAAACTAAAGCAGATACCTTAAAACAACTGAGGCCAATAGGAAAAGGGGACCAGGAACTAGAGAAAATGTTAGATCAAAAAGAATTAACCTAGAAGGTAACACACGCACAGGAAATTAATGTGAGTCGACTCCCTGTATAGCTATCCTTATCTCAACCAGCAAAAACCTTGTTCCTCCTATTATTGCTTATACTCTCTCTTCAACAAAATTAGAGATAAGGGCAAAATAGTTTCTGCTGGGTATTGAGGGGATGTGGGGGAGAGGGAGGGGGTGCAGTGGGTGGTAAGGGAGGGGGTGGGGGCAGGGGGGAGAAATGACCCAAGCCTTGTATGCACATATGAATAATAAAATAATTAAAAAAAAAAGAAGAAAAACTGTTGGCAATATGGCACAAAATAGGTTTCGGTTCTTACTGCACCCTTAAGCTTCTGTTTTCCAGGGTCACAGTCCTGCCTCCCAGGGTCACAGTCCTGCCTCAAGTCTAGCTTGAACCCTCCTTCTGCCCCAACCTCCAATCAGCATGAACCATAAGATCCTAACCAATCAGATCATGCTGAGTCCCACTGAGGGGTATTTAAGCCCCTGCCCCTCTCTCCCTCTCTCTCTTGGCTCTCTCTGCTCCTCCCTCTCCCACCCGGCAATAAAGAATCTCTTGGCCAGATCACTCCTCTCCACGTGGTCACTTTTGGGGCCTATATTTCCAACAAAAACAGAAAATCACATACTGTTTAAAAAAGCATATTCATGCTTATCTTGCAAACTGACATGGAATCATCCTTCAGAAATATATAACGCCAGTCACTGGGGGCACTATGCAGGTGGACAGTGTTTTCTTACTTTCTCAAAATATACAAAGTCACTCATGATTGCTTAGTTACTTCTTTAACTTTTCAGTCAGCCAAGTTCACAAATTTAACTGTCCTTCATCATTCCCTTTTTTCTTCTGAGGACAGTACTTTTAACCATTTTATTCTATAATTATTTTTATTATGTTATAGTTGTCACATCTATATCAGTTACAGAGCATAACAATAAAAAGAATGACCATTAAATTACTACCCAATTGAAGAGTTCAATAAATACAACACCATAATTCCTGTTCTTTTCTTCTAAACCTGCTGTACCTGTATCCTTCTCTATTCTAGTTGCTAGGAACTCCTACCCTTTCAGTTAAAAAAAAAAAAAAATCACACAAACCTTAAAGTAAGCAGTGTGTGGTGGTGTTTGCCCATAATCCCAGATACTTAGGAGGCAGAGACAGGAAGATTGCAGCCCCAGCAAAAGTTAAGACCCCTATAAAACATGATAGTCATGGTGGCCCAGCTACATAGGAGTCAGAGGTAGTGGATGCTAATTTGAGACCCTATCTGAAAACAAACTAAAAAAAGCAAAAGAGCAGGTAGGAGTGCAGTGGTGGTACACACCTGCAAACCCTGCTATACAGGAGCCCATAGGTAGGAAGATTATGGTCTGAGGCTGGCCCTGAGTAAAAATGTGAGGTCTTATCTGAAAAACAACTTAAACAAAAGAAGGATGGGGGAGGGTGGCTTGAGTGTTAGAGTACCTGCCTAGCAAGTGTCAGGCACCAAGCTCAAACCTCAGACTGCCACCCTCCAAACAACAACAAAAACCCGTAAAGTCATCCTTCACTAATATCCCTCTCTCATACATCATATCCAATCACTTATCAAATGCTATTGATGCTACCTGAAAAATATATCTATAACCTATGTTTTACTTCTCTACTGCTAATCAACCTTGTTATAGCTGCAAAATAAAAATATAGTATGTCCATTTAAGTTTCAAGAATAAAATAAATAACCTTTCAAAAAATGCTCAATGAAATGGTAATGATATAGTGATGCTTAAAATGTTTGTTATCTGAAATTCAAATTTAAATGAGTATCTGGTGGGTTTTTGTTCTAAAATAAATAAGGCATCTTTTAATATAACCTCCAATTAGTTTACTGGAAGAGGTTCCTTACTGGTCTCAAAACTTCTACCCTCCCCACACATTCCTAAGTCCATTTTCAACACAGTTACTAAACTGATCTATTTAAAATTTAAGTCTGATCATATCACTTTTCTATTCAAAACCCTAGAATTCCCCATTTCCCTTTTGGAATAAAAGGCAAGGACCTTACAATGGCCTATTATTGGCCCTCTATTACCTATCTGCTTTATATCCTAGTACCTTGACCCTTTTCTTAGCTCTAGATACAATGACCTCATTAATTTTCCTAAATATGCCAAGCACATTAAAGCTTTTACTCTAGCTATTCTTTCTTCTGGAAAGATGAAAGATGATCTTCCACCAGATCATCTTTGGTTAATTCTCTTCTTCCTTCAAGTTTTTCTTCAAATCTTCCCCTCTTAATGAGGCCTATGATGTCCACTCCTGTAAACAAAGAGTCACAAGGACAAACAAAAAAGGGCAAATAACTGCACAACAATGCATACACTGATAGGAATTATACTACTGCTAAAACTGAAGAGTTGTCTAATTGAAATGCTTATCATGTAATATATAGATACGAGTGTAAATTCAGCAAAGGAAAGTAACTTTCCTTTCAGGAAAGGATTAATGTTGACATACAATTAGCAAAGCATGAATTATATGCAACTGAATAACTACTCATAATATGTAATTCATATAATATTACTTAGATCTGTTTTGCTCTGTGGTCCCTAGGCACTAACCATACACTATAGGATTAAACTGATTTCTTCCCTTTGGCTCTTTATTATCCTCAAGATTGTCTTCACAATTTTTCAGATCAGTCCTTAAATTATACTGTAACAACTGTTACTGCTTATTTCATCTCCACTACCAGATCTTTCTTGATTTCACTGGATTTTCTCTCTCATCCCTACCTCATTTTTTTACATTTTATAGAAAAAAATTTAGATAACTAGAAGCCTCATGCTTTAATGACAGGTCCATTTAGTTAATGAACAGATCAGATGCTGGAAGCAAAATAGTTTTGAAATAATCAGCATCTCATGAGTGTGCTCAAAAACACCACAAATAAGGATCCATGAGGCCAGCTGGCAAATGGAGGACAAGCTGTGATGTTCAGTGTCCAACCCATAGCAGAGAAGCTGGTCAGCAGTGAGACCTGCAACAGAGAAGCCCCTGGGATCCAGTGAGTAGAAGAGCTTTGGAATGTAGGACCTTGGTGCCATGTCCTAGAATAAAGAAGCTGCCCTGCATATGACCTTGGGCACAAAGGTGGCTGAAACACAGAGAATAGAGGCAGTGGTGGCAGTGGCACCTGTGGCTCAGTGGTTACGGCACCAGGTTCAGTGAAAGGTCTCAAATGTGGCAGAGACGCCAGGGCCTGCCTTGTTGTACTTCCATTCCACTGCAGAGACTGCCACCAAAGAGAACATCAAACAAAAGTCTGAGTCTAGAACACAACAACAGACTATAAGTAGTGGGGGGCTAGAGAGAGGGGAAAGTTACAAATTAAGAGAGAATGGCGTGATCTGGCAATTTAAGGGCCCAGACTCCAGAAGCCTTCACCAGAAATCATATTTAGATCTCCAAATACTTCCCTCTCCCCACCCTTACTGGAGAAGGAACACAAGGCTGTCAATGGACATCATTCCAGAGGCAGGTATCCAACTACACTGCCATCTAGTGGACAGAAAGACTTGGACATTGGGGGTTGGGGAAGAGGGGAACACCTGCTTAGAAGAACATAAGAAAACTCTGAATGTTTATGTTAAGTTGTTTTTGTCAGTTAAGTTTGGGATGTATAGATTTCCTATATGTATGTTTGTATGTTCTTTTGCCATACATCTGAACTGAGCAATTTTGCACTCTCTCCTATATTTTCTCTTTAGTTCTGCCTTTTCCTCCTTTTCTTTCTCTGTAGTTATCATATGAGATCCCTGAAACTGACTTTCAGTATTCAATCTTAAACCATTTCTTATCTTCCCCTTTCCTATTGCCCTTCCCCATTTATACTTTCCTCCTGTCTATAACTACAACTGTTGTCTAGCTCATAATTTCTTCATACTCTCTTTACCCACCCATAATCCTATTTTATTACCAATAATTTTAGTGGTAAACAGATTGCCAGATTATTATTTGTTATTTTGCTTTATTTTTTGTCTGTTCAGTTTTCTCCATTTTTTTCTTCCTCCTCTCTCCCTTATCTTAATATTAACTAGATCTCTTCTACCTATTCTACTTTCTCACTAACTCTTTCTTATTAATCTCATTTGCCACCTCTTTTTGCCACATAAAACCATATACCTTGTGTTATTCACTAAAGTTATCCTCTCTATCTCCCCACCACATTACTACCCTTATTACCTTCAGTCTTCCAGGATCATAAGGATTTGCCTTTGCTCCAATAGACATATAAAGATATTGTAGCAGTAAATGATCTTCTTTAGCAATTGTTGTGATTTCAAGGCTTTAACCTTAGCACTGTGATAGCTTTAGCACCTAAGCTTCCTCTCCCTACGTGGAATAGGGGGAGGCACCAGGCATCTTGAGAGCAGAAACTGAAGTTTTGACTACTGAGCAACACTCCCCTGTCCAGAGATAAGAAAACACACCACAACTCAGCCACTACCCAGTCCTAAATAATCTTTCAGAAATCCCCAACTAAAGAGACACAGGGGCTTGGAACCTTCAACCAAAAACAATCCCAGATGTTTAAATCTCAACATAGAAACATGAAGCAACAAGGCAACAGCTCTCCATCAAAAGTCAACTCCACAAATAAAGACTCAAGCAGTAGTGAAAAGGAAGAAACAGCAATCATTGAATTAAAAAAAAAGCAATGGCAAGAATGATCAGTGAACTCAAAGAGGAGTCACATAAGCTAGTGAATGAACTCAAAGAGGATTCAATGAAACAACTAACTGAACTTAAAGAGAATTCAAATAAATGTACAAATGAAATAAAGAAGACAATGCAGGGATATTTAAGAG